ATGAGTCAACAGCTTGGTAAAGGAGGCACAAAAAAAGGGAAGAAAATAACCCCTTTAAAAAACAGAATAGACCAAATGATAAAACAGGCATAAAAATCCAGATAAGAGAAGAATTCTTTAAACATTCAGATTGGCCAAATGGACAAAGATGTACAAAAATTCACTGAAGAAAAGAACTCCCTAAAAAATAGAGTTGGCCAAATGAAAAAGGAGGTACAAAAGTACACTGAAGAAAATAATTCCTTAAAAATTAGATTTGGGCAAATGGAAGTTAATGACTCCATGAGATGTCAAGAAACAATCAAACAAAATCAAAAGAATGGAAAAAATAGAAGAAAATTTGTAATATCTCATTGGAAAAAACAAACTGAAAAATAGATTGAGAAGAGATAATTTCAGAATTATTGTACTAAGTGGAAACCATTATCAAAAAAAGAACCTAGACATCATCTTTCAAGGAATTATCAAGGAAAATTGCGCTGATATTCTATCACCAGAAAATAAAATAGAAATTGAAAGACACCACTCACCTCCTGAAAGAGTTCCTAAAATGAAAACTCCCAGAAATGTTATAGCCAAATTCCAGAGCTTCCAGCTTAAGAAGAAAATGCTACAGGGAACCAGAAAGAAACAATTTAAATTATCATGGAGCCATAGTCAGGTTGACACAAAATTTAGCAGCTTCCACATTAAAGGACTGGAGAACTTGGAATATGACATTCTGGAAGGCAAAGAAGCTAGGATTATAACCAAATAATACCTACCCAGCAAAACTGAGAATAATCCTTCAGAGGGAAGATGGATATTCAGTGAAATAAATGACTTTCAGGCATTCCTGATAAAAAGACCAGAACTGTAAAGAAAATTTAACTTTCAAATACAAGACCCAAGAGAAGAAAAAAAATGTGAACAGGAAAGAGAAATCGTAAGGAATTCAATAAAGTTAAATTTGTTTACATTCCTGCATGGGAAAATGGTACCTGTAACTCCTTAAAACTTTATCATTATTAGGTCACTTAGAATTATTATACATAGACAGAGGGCATGGGTGTGTGTAGAATATGATGAATTCATATCTAAAAAAATTAAGAGGTGAGAAAGATGAGTGCACAGAGACAACGGGGAAGGGAGATGTACAGTGGGGTAAATTATCTCACATGAAAGAGGTGTGAAAGAACGTTTATAGTGGAGGGCAAGATGGGAGGGAGATTTGGGGGTGAGAGGAGTGCTTGAACCTCACTCTCATTAGAATTGATTTAAAGAGGGAATAATATACACAGTCAGCTTTTTTGTTTGTTTTTTGTTTTGTTTTGTTTTGTTTTTGGTGAGGCAGTTGGGGTTAAGTGACTTGCCCAGGGTCACACAGCTAGTAGGTGTCAAATGTCTGGTCTGAGGCTGGATTTGAAGTCAGGTCCTCTTGATCCCAGGCCCAATGTTCTATCCACTGTGCCACCTAGCTGCCACCACATTCAGTTTTGTATAGAAATCTATCTTACCCTGCAGGGAAATAGGAGGGGAAATGGAAAAAAAAAAAGGCAGGGGGCTGATAGAAGGGAGGGCAGATTGGGAGAGGCAGTAATCAGAAGCAAAACACTTTTGAGGGTGGATAGGATTAAAGGAGAGAGAGTTAGATAAATGGGGGGGAAATAGGATAGAGGGAAAGACACAATTAGTAATTATAACTGAAAAAATGTTTATAACAAGTTTCTCTGATGAAGGCCTCATTTCTCAGATATATAGAGAACTGAGTCAAAATGTTAAGAATAGGAGTCATTCCCCATTTGATAAATGGTCGGAGGATACAAACAGGCAGTTTTCAGATGAAGTAATCAAAGCTATAGTCACATGAAAAAATGCTCTAAATCACTATTGATTAGACAAATGCGTATTAAAATAATTCTGAGGTACTAACCCATACCTGTCAGCCTGGTTAGTGTGAAAGAAAAGGAAAATGACAAGTGTTAGAAGAGACATAGGAAAACTTGGACACTAATGCACTGTTGGAGTTGTGAACTGATTCAACCATTCTGGAGAGCCATTTGGAACTATACCCAAAGATCTATAAAACCATGCATGCCCTTTTACCCAGCAATACCATTACTATGTTTGTATGCTGAAGAGATGAAAAATAAAAAGGGACCTGTATGTACAAAAATATTTTTAGCAGCTCTTTTTGTGGTGGCAAAGAATTGGAAATTGAGGTAATACCCATCAATTGGAGAATGTCTGAACAAGTTATGGTACGTTATGGTACGTGATTGCATTGGAATACTGTTATGCTATAAGAATGATAAGCAGGGTACTCTCAGAAAAAACTGAAAGATTTTCATGATCTGATGCAGATTGAAGTGAGCAGGACCAGCAGAACACTGTACATATTAACAGCAATATTGCATGATCTACTGTGAATGACTTAGCTATTCTCAGTAATGCAATGATCCAAGACAGTTCTGAAGGAATTATGATAAAAAATGCTGTCCACCTCCAGGAAAGAACTGAAGGAATCTAAATACATACCAAAACCTGCTCTTTAAAACTTTCTTTTTTTTTGTAATTTTTTTTTTGGTCTGTTTTCTTTTATAACCTGCCTGATATAGAAATATATTTATGACTGCACATATATAAATTGTATCAAATTGCTTGCCTTCTCAATGAGGGGGAGAGGACAGGGAGGGAGAGAATTTGGAACGCAAATTTCTAAAAAACAAATGTTAAAAATTGACCTTGTGTGTAATGAAGGAAAAAGTAAAATATTAAATTAAAAAAACTATTGTGTCTGAATGCAGTTCGATGCATACTTTTTGAATTTTGTTTTTCCTGTGTTTTTTTAATTTGTGTTTTCACAGCATGACTAAGATGGAAATGTTTTTCATGACTGCATATGCACAACCTGTATCAAGTTGCTTACCTTGTTAGTGAGGGAAAGGAAAAGGAGGGAGGGAAGAAGGAGAGAATTTGGATCTCAGCATTTTTAAAATGAATGTTGAAAATTGTTTTTGCATGTAATTGGAAAAAAATAAAATACTAAATACTAAACTGTGGGAAAAAAGATCATAGAAAGAGTTTGAAAAGTGGGCAAAAGACAAGAAAAAGATCATCAGAAGGGAGCAGAGGCCTGCAAAACAGTTTTGAATGTAATAATTTTGAATTTATTAAAATTTATCAAATACTTAAAGTGGTATGAAATGGGAAAAAAACTTCTAATTTTTTCACTAGCATCCATAACAGTGACTTCAGGAGTTTAAATTGAAAAATGTATGTCTTTCATATGTTTAAAATATTTCTCAAACAAGTTAACTAGTGGATCAAATATTTTCTTACAAAATGTTTCAAAAATGAATTCTTTTTCTTTCACATAACTTGAAACTTCTTAGTTTGAACAAATACTTCATGACTTGTCCTTTTAAAAAGCCTTCTTTTGCACTTCTGTGTGGTAGGGAAGTACTTCATATTCTGTTCCCATCTTTTTGCCAAAATCTTTGAAAAAACGTGGTAGTTTAGAGACCTGCTTCTGATACAGTTGTTGACTTTTTATGGATGTTAACAAAACTTTATTTCAGAGATCTTGGAAGAATCTTTGTTGCTAGTGGATTGCCATATAAAGAGGTATGAGTACACATTGTTTGCAGTGTAAGGATCTTCTTTTTTTATCATTAACATTGCAAAACCACATTTATCACCAAATATTTTCAGGAAATCCATTTGTGCACATATTATTAACCTTTTCTTTTAAACAAAATTTTGCTTGGCAAAAAAAAAATTCTTTTTGTCATTTTCAAACATTGACAGACTTTGTAGTTTCTTTTTTCTTTTTTTTTTTTTTGGTGAGGCAGTTGGGGTTAAGTGACTTGCCCAGGATCATACAGCTAGTAAGTGTTATGTGTCTAAGGCTGGATTTGAACTTGGGTCCTCCTGATTCCAGGGCCAGTGTTCTATACACTGTGTCACCTAGCTACCCTAAGACTTTGTAGTTTCTAAAGAGGAATTATAATAATGTTAGAGTGCACATATTGAAGAACAGCAAGGAGTTAGGAATATTGAAAGATGTATGTAACTTGATTCAGTTGTATACCCAAGGGGAATGGCAAAGCTGCCAAATCCTTGATAACTTGCTTCAAAATGTTAAAAGAAATACCAACTTTTCTAAGATGCATCACATCATCTGACACTGGAAGCACTTTCAATTTTCTCCTCTGTTTTAGGTCACAGACTAGTTTGACCACTTCCACTGCATATGGCTTTACTAAAGTCTCTTCCAATGGAGGGGGACTTCTTTTGTTTGGGTATTCAGTAAACACCTATAGGATATTAATAAAAGGTTTTTGTGAAACAGCAGATCCAATTTTGGATGTGTCACAGGTTTTTTGAAGTGAGCTTCCTTCACATGTAAAGACCCTTCATCTTTAGATTCATATTCTGTATGGACAGCCATGAGGTGCTGTTTCCATTTTGTTGGCATAATATTTCTATTGGCAAGAATTTTATCATACAAAAACCACTAAGATGTTTGTGTCCAGTCACATTTGTTAAAGCAAGTGGAACCTTTTCTTCAAAATTTCAACTCACAGGGGGGCTGGAAAAATAAAACATAGATAAAAATAAAATATTTTAATTCAGTTTATATTTTTGAAAGTATTTTTGCATAGTTTTTAAGTAATTTGTTTGATAATTCCTCATAAGAGTAAGTAATTTTTATATGAAGTAAAAGTGTAAGATAATGAAAACAATTGTATGATTAATAAAGTAAGGGGGTATTACAATTTGTCCAAAGTTTTAACACTTTTGTTGGCTTTTAACTCTTTTAGTCGACATACAAATTACAGTAGTAAATGAACTTTAGAATAAGGTGAAAATTCAAATATAGTGTAAATATTTAAGGCAGCTGGTCTCTAAATAGATGATTTCAGACCGGCTTTGGATTGAGAAGTGCTTTAACATCTGGAGACTTATATTCTTTACCTAGATAGTAGTGAATCACGTAGATCATCCTTTTACTCAAGGCCTGTGATACCTGAGATGTCAGTTGATTTCGATCCAAAGAGAGGGTTAAACAGGGATAGAACAGCAATCAGCAAAAAGAGCAGCAAACAACATAAATTACCAGCATGGTGATGATAATGCTTCGATTGGGATCTTTGGAGATGAAGCAGGGAGCACAAAAATCCACGGAAGGTAAGAACTCTTTAAAAAGCTGAACTGACCAAATAGAAAAGAAAGCACACAAATTCACTGAAGAAAAGAACTCCTTAAAAAGCAGAATTGGCCAAATGCAAAAAATTTAAAAATCTCATTGAATAAAGTAATTCCCTAAAAATTAGAATTGGATAAGTGGAAGCTAATGACTCTGTGAGATGTCAAGAGGTAATAAAACAAAGTCAAAAGAGTGGGGGGGTGGGGGGAGAAGAAAATGTGAAATATCTCATCAGAAAAACAAATGACCTGGGAAATGGATCCAGGAGAGATAATTTAAGAATTATTAGATTACCTGAAAACCCCCCAAAAAAGCCTTAGACATCATATTTCAAGAAAGTATTAAGGAAACCTGCCCTGACATTCCAGAACTAGAGGGCAAAATGGAAATTGAAAGAATGTCCATCTCACCTCCTGAAAGCGATACCAAAATGAAAATTCCCAGGAATATTATAACCAAATTTTAGAGCTCCCAGATCGAAGAGAAAATATTGCAAACAGCCAGAAAGAAACAATTCAAATATTGGGAAGCCATAGTCAGGATCACATAAAATTTAGCGACTTTCATGTCAAAAGTCAAAAATATGATATTCCAGAAGGCAAAGGAACTAGGATTACAACAAAAAATAATCTACCCAGCAAAACTGAGTCCAGTTCTTCACAGGGGAGGGGAGGGAATAGATATTTAATGAAATACAGGACTTTCAAGCATTCCTGATGAAATAGAAAATTTGGCATTCAAACACAAGACTCAGGAGAATCATAAAAAGGTAAGCATGAAAGAGTAATCATAAGAGACTCAATAAAGTTAAACTGTTTACATTCCTATATGGAAAGATGATACATATAACTCCCAAGAACTTTATCATTATTAGAGTAGTCAAAAGGAGTTTACATAGACAAGAAGTCACGGGTGTGAGTCAGTGATGTTGGAATGATTTCCAAAAAGGGTGGGGGGGTGAAAATTGAGAGAAGGGAGGAGGGACAGGTAGAATGGGGGAAATTACATGAAAGAGGCACATAAAGCAAAGGTTTTACAGTGGAGGGGAAAATGGGGGGGTAGGTAGTGAAGTGAAGTCACTTTCATTGGAATTAGTTCAGAGGGAAGAAGAGATAGACACACTCAGTTATGTATAGAAATGCAACTTACCTAATAGGGAAATCAAAGGGGGAAGAGGATAAGAGAAGAGTGTGTGTGTGTAGAAGGGAGGGGAAATGATAAAAGGGAGAGCAGATTAAGCAAGGCAGTGGTTAGAAGCAAAATAGACTTTTGAGGAGGGACATGGATAAAAAGAGGAAGAAATAGAAGAAAATGGGATGGAAGGAAATACACAGTAATCATAACTGTGAATGTGAGTTGGATGAGCTCACCTATAAAATGGAAGCAGCAGAATGGATTAAAAAACAGAATCCCCAACAATATGTTTACAAGAGACACACTTGAAATAGAAACTCAAGTTTCACACAGAGTTAAAATAAAGGACAGGAGAAGAATCTAATATGCTTCAGTTGAAGTAAAAAATACAGGAGTAATAATCATGATCTCAGACAAAGCAAAAACAAAACCAGATCTAATTGAAACAGATAATCAGAGAAGCTACATTATGCTAAAAGGTGTATAGCTAATGAAGTAATATCAAAAATTTTTTACAGTAAATTTCTCTGATAAGGGCCTCACCTGTTAAATATATACTCAGTATAGAACTGAGTCAAATTTATAAAAATAAGCCATTTCCCAACTGCTAAATGATCAGAGGATATATAGAGGCAGTTTTCAGAAGAAGAAATCAAAGCTGTCTATAGGCATATGAAAAAATGCTCTAAATCACTACTGATGAGGGAATACAAATTAAAAACTCTTGAGTTACCACCTCACACCTATCAGAAATGACTGATGCTGGAGGGGATGAGGGGAAAATTGATACACTAATAAATTATTGGTTGAGTTGTTACCTGGTCCAACGATATTGAAAAACAGTTTGGAACTATGCCAAATGGGCTATAAATCGGTGATCCAGCAATACCACTACTAGGTATGTATCCCAAAGAGCTACAAGGAAAATTACCTATATGTACAAAAAATATCTGTAGCAGCTCTTTTTGTGGTAGCAAATAATTGGAAATTTAGGGAATGTTCATCAGTTGGGGAATGACTGAACAAGTGGTGGCATATGATTATGATGGAGTACTATTGTGCTGTAGGAAATGGTGAGGTGAGTGTTTTCAGAAAAAACGGCAAGACCTATATGAACTGATGCAAAGTGAAGTGAGAAGAACAGAGAGATCATTGTGCATAGTAATAACAATGTTGTAATGATGATCAACTATCAAAGGCTTGGTTACTCCAGTCAGTTCAATGATCTGAGACAGGACTCATGCTGAAAAAATAGTGTCCTTTCAGAAAGAGGACTTATGAACTCTGAGTGCAAGTTGAAGTATAATTTTCTTGCTTTCTTTATTTTTCTTGCTTTTTAAAAAAATATGGCTAATATGGAAATAAGTTTTGCATGATGTAACATGTATAATTAATATATTGCCTTTTTAGTGGGTGAGGGAGGATATGAGAGGGAGGGAGAGAATTTGGAACTAAAAATTTAAGAATGCTAAAAATAAATGTTAAAAATTTAAAAGATCTTGTGAGGTAGTATCAGTAGGAAATTTAGAAGAGTGGAGGAAGATGTAAGATTTGCAAGTTTTTAAAGCAGTGTTTACTTTAATGAAAATTTCAACAAATTGATTATAGGCATACTAATGTATAATTTGAGGCCAAATGTTACATGGTGTGGCTAATTTCTGGTAATGTTATAGTGGAGTTTGGAGATATTTTTATAAGGCTTGGTTTTATAGATATACATGTATATTCACACACACATATATGTAAATACATATATAGAGATAGATACACACATATATAATTTGTCTTATGTTCTTGCAAGAATGATATTGGAGTATTATTGGAACAACATTTTGTGGAGTATACCATTGTACTTTTCTTTAAAACTGAGTCATATGACAAAATTTACAAATACTTAAATACCAGGATAATATAACTGGATTGCCAATTATACAACTCTAGTATTATAACATACTTGTGTTCAGAAGATCCTGCTATTTTAAAATAATATAAATTTAATTTTCTTTTGCATAAAATAGATAAATGTAAGCATACTTGAGTCATTAAACCCTTTAATGCTTATACTAACTTCCACAGTACACTTGCTGACCTAGGCTGTTGGTGACACCTGGTGGCTAGTGTAGGGAACCATCTGTCTGAACATTTCTTGAATTAGTTTCCACATCTTGATTTTACCCGGATACATTTCTTTCGTTTGTGTTCTTCTCTACACCACTACCATAGTATAGACCCTCATAGCCCCTCACCTAGACTGCGGCAATAAATGTCTTGCCCTGTAATTCAGTCCATCCTTCACAAAATACACTGAAGTGATTTTCTTTAAGTAGAAGTTTGACCATTTCATTCCCTTACATCAAGGATCTAATATAAATTTCATGGGTTGACATTTAAATTCTTTACAAACTGGCCTTAACCTACCTTTCCAGCCTTATTACATATTAGTCTGCTTGCCATGTTCCAGTATATAGTTATTCTCATTTGATTACTGCTACTCATATAGGGCAGTCCGTCTCCTATCTTTGTGCCTTTGCACAGAGAGTCTCCCATGTCTGGAAGGCGCTCTCTTCATCTCTGTATCTTGGGATCCTTAGTTCCTTTCAAGTCTCAACTCTACATGAAGCCTTTTCTGATGACCTCAGCTGCTAGGCTCTCCTATCACCTTGTATCTGATTTATTGTAAGGATGGGGCTCAAATGAGTAAATCAAATCACTCTACCCAATTTCAGTGAAGTGATGCCTTAAGGGAAAGCATATTTAAGTTAAAGACTTTAGACTAAAGCTAAAGTCTTTGGTCAGCTGGAGTGAGGTTATGCAGGAAATGTGTTTAACTTGGCAGAGGAAAATTGGTTATGCCAATCTAAGACATATCTGGTCAACTTGGACTCATGAGGTTAGAGCAAGGTAAGCTAGGAGAGAGTATTCAGCAAAACCCCTAAGGAAGAAGCACTTGGTACGGGAAAAGAGGGAAGCATATACCTCAGCTTCCATCTAGGCCTAGAGGAGGATTTCAGGGTCCTTTGAAGAATCTAGAAGCTTTTGGATTTTTTATCTTCTTATCATCCTAGCATTATCCTCTGGGACAGCAACTAATGATAACAGTGTCAACATCTGGAGCTAACAACAGATTGGATGTGATTTAGGAGGGTGGATTCATGGCTACACAAACAGTTGAGGAAAGATGCTACATCATACCTAAGAGGAACTTCTTGAAAACCCTACAAAAGGAATTTTTTTTCCCATTTTTCCAGTAAGCAGGGGTCATGGGTTGCCACATGTGTTCTCTGAGCTTAAGCCTATTTTGACTTTTGGGAAGGATGCTTATATTAACTTTTTTTAAAAAAAAAACTGTATTTCACTTTAGTACATTTACATTACATGTGGTAAATTTTTCTTGATCACTTCCTAAGTAATCCTTTCTAAAAGCCAATTTTCTGGGCTGACTGATAATCAAGTGACAATCATGATGGAAAAAAACACCAGCGTGGCCTGTGAACTGTATCACTAAAGTAGATGCCCTCCAACCTTTCAGTACTATTCCTTAGAATCAATCCTGAGGAAAGATGTAGGGATTCAAGTTGACAGTGAGAATGGAGGTTGGGATTAAGTACCCCCAGAGTGCTATTTTGTATATACTTATATATGTACATATTGTTTCTTCCAACACGACACAAAAGAAGGGAAGGAACTTTTGTCTTTGTATCCATAGGGCTTAGCTCAATACCTGGCATATTGTAGGCGTTAATAAGTGATTGCTGGTTGGTTTTATTACTTGCACAAATTTACCAAATCTCATTACTTTTATTTTGTCAGAGTTATGTTGCCTCATTTTGCAACAAATCAAATTTTTTGTTTATGTTTTTCATATTTTTATTCAAGAATATTCTGTTACATTCATATGAAATAGTTTAAGATTGTCGGAGGAGATTATAAATTGTTAGATATCTGGGATATTCCCTTTTTTAAATTCTTTTTTTATACTGTGTTTTGTCACAAATCTTTTTTTTAATTAATTTATTTTTAGTTTTTAACATTCACTTCCACAAGATCTTGAGTTCCAAATTTTCTCCCCATCTCTCCCCTCCCTCCACCCCCAAGACGGCATGCATTCTGAATACCCCTTCACCTAATCTGCCTTCCCTTCTATCACCCGCCCTTCTCTTATCTCCTTCCCCTTCTATTTTCCTGTAGAGCAAGATAGATTTCTATACCCCTTTCTATATCTTATTTCCCAGTTGCCTGTAAAAACAATTTGTAACATTTGTTTTTAAAATTTTGGGTTCCAAATTCTTTCCCTTCTTCCCTACCCACCTATTCTCATTGAGAAGGCAAGCAACTCAATACAGGTTATGCATATATAATCATGCAAAACACTTCATCATAGCCATGTTGTGAAAAACTAACTATATTTTCCTTCAAACAGTCCCACACCCCATTTATCCTATTCTCTCCTTTGACCCTGTCCCCAATCTGCCTTCCCTTCTATCATTCTCCCCCCTATCCCCTTCCCCCCCTATTTTCCTGTAGTGTAAGATTGAGCCAAATCCAATGAGAGTAAGATTCATTCATTTCCTCTCACCTCCCCCCTCTTCCCCTCCACTGTAAAAGTTTTTTCTTGTCTGTTTTATGTGAGATAATTTACCCCATTCTACCTCTCCCTTTCTCCTTTTGCCTATATAATCCACTCTCTCACCCGTTACTTTTACTTTTTAGATATCATCCCTTCATATTCAACTCACCATGTGCCCTCTGTTTATATATATTCCCTCCTATTACCCTAATACTGAGAAAGGTCTCATGAGTTACAAATATCATCTTTCCATGCAGGAATGTAAATAGTTCAACTTTAATATGTCCTTAAGATTTCTCTTTTCCTGTTTACCTTTTCATACTTCTCTTGAGTCTTGTATTTGAAAGTTGAATTTTCTATTCAGCTCTGGTCATTTCATCAGAAATACTTGAAAGTCCTCTATTTCACCAAATGTCCATTTTTTTCCCCTGAAGGATTATACTCAGTTTTGCTGGGTAGGTGATTCTTGGTTGTAATCCTATGTTCTTTGACCTCCAGAATATTATATTCCAAGCCCTCCAATTCTTTAAGGTAGAAGCTGCTAAATCTTGTGTTATTCTGATTGTGTTTCTACAGTACTTGAATTGTTTCTTTCTGGCTGCCTGCAATATTTTCACCTTGACCTGGGAATTCTGGAATTTGGCTACAATATTCCTAGGAGTTTTCCTTTGGGGATCTCTTTAGGAGGTGATCGGTAGATTCTTTCAATTTCTATTTTGCCCTCTGGTTCTAAAATATCAGGGCAGTTTTCCTTGATAATTTCTTGAAAGATGATATCTAGGCTCTTTTTTTGATCATGGCTTTCAGATGGTCCAATAATTTTTAAGTTCTCTCCTGCATCTATTTTCCAGGTCAGTTGTTTTTCCAATGAGATATTTCACATTGTTTTCCTTTTTTTTTTTCATTCTTTTGGATTTGTTTTACAGTGCTTTGATTTCTTATATAGTTGCTAGCTTCCAATTGCTCCATTCTAATATTTAAGGAAGTATTTCCTTCAGTAATCTTTTGGACTTCCTTTTCCATTTGGCCAATTTTTCCTTTTAGGGCATTCTTCTCCTCATTGACTTTTTGGACCTCTTTTGCCATTTGGGTTAGGCTGTTTTTTAAGGTGTTATTTTCTTCAGTATTTTTTCCTTTAGTATCACTCTGGGTTTTTCCTCTACTTCTCTTACTTGCTTCTTAAAATCCTTTTTGAGCTCTTCCATGGCCTGGGACCAATTCATATTTTTCTTGGAGGCTGTGGATGTAGGAGCTTTGGCTTCATTGTCTTTTTCTGGTTGTATGTTTTGGTCTTCTTTTGTCACCGAAGTAAGATAATATAGTCTGACTCTTCTTGCGCTGCTTTCTCATGATTCCGGCCAATTACTTGAGTTATAAACTCTTTGTGAAGTTAAGGATCTGTTTCCAGTGTGGAGAATGTACTATCCCAAGCTTCAGGTATTTTGTGCAGCTGTTTTCAGAGATACTTCTAGGGACCTGTAAATTTTCAGTTCTTCCAAGGTGGTGCGATCAAGGGCAAGGTGTTTACTCCTTTCCTGTCCTGTGCTCTGCTTTATGAATGACCATAAGCACTCTTTTCTTTCTTGGAACTGTGAGGAGGATTTCTTCTTCACAGCCACTACAAGCTCCACTAAGCCAGTGCTCCTCCTCACCCCAGGACCGCCACCCAGAACTGTGACCCAGATCTAAGTGTGGACAAAGCAAGAGAAAATCCTGCACCAGCAGAGAGATCCCTGCAATCCCCCTGTGGTCAGCCACGTGATTCCCCCTCAGTCTGTGGGTTGGAAGCTCAGGAGGCAGCTGCTACCCCAGGGCCAAGCTCGGAGAATGGGACTGGGACCCAGTGCTTCTCTCTCACTGCAGAAACAGACTTTTCCCACTGACCTTCTAAGTTGTCTTTGACGTTTGTGGGTTGAGAAGTCTGGAATCCACCACAGCTGCCTGCGATTCAGTCCTCTGAGGCCTGTCCCAGGTTCGCTGAGGCCTGTGCGGCCACGCCAAACTGCATTCCTCTCCCAGCCTGATGCAATATACCTTTCTGATCAGCTATACCGATTGGGCTGGAGATATGTTTCATTTTGTCTTTATGTGGATTCTGCTGCTTTAGAATTTGTTTGGAGCCATTTTTTATAGGTATTTGGAGGGATTTGGGGGAGAGCTCAAGCAGGTCACTGCTTTTACTCCGCCGTATTGGCTCTGCTGCCCATTTTACTTTTTAGGAGTTCTCTTCAGTGAGATTTTGCGCCTCCATTTCTATTTGGCCAATTCTACTTTTTAGGGACTTGTTTTCTATAGTTAATTTTTTTCCTTCCTTTTCCAAGCCATTGACTCTCTCTTGCATGCCTTTCATTTCTTTTCCCAGTTTTTCTTCTACCTCTCTTGTTTGACTTTTAAAATTCTTGTTGAGCTCTTCCAAGAAGGCTTTTTAGGCTTGAGACCAGTTCATATTCCCCTTTGAGGTTTTGGATATGGGCATATTGACAATGTTGTCCTCTTCTGAATTTGTGTCTTGATCTTCCCTTTCCCCAGAATAAGAATCTGTGGTTATTTTCTGTTTCTGCTTTTTGTTCATGGTGTTTGCCTGTTTCCTGACTTTAAAAAAAAAAAGTTGAGTTATTCTGCTGGAGTGAAGAGAGCACTTACCCAAGCTTCTTTTCCTGCTCACCCAGGCCTTGCACTTGAATGTTTGGCTTCTGCTCTCCCAGGCTTTATACAGGGATATTTTGATTTTGGTGGATGTCTGTTAGCCTAGAACTTCTGGAGTTGTGTTTCCCAGAGTTGTGTTGAGGCACTGGTAATTTTGCTGCTGGAGAACGTAGTCACGCATGGTGGTTTTCTGGAACTGGAGTGTAGACACTTGAATGTACGTGAAGTCTACCAGTTCCCCTTCCTGTATTGAGGTTCAAGTGGGGTCCTTGGCACTTGCTTGCTCTACCAATCTGGGTCTCAGGATCTCCCTCTGGTATGCTGAGGTAGAACTTGCTGCTGGCTTGCTGAGATGCCTCCAGTCCTGTACTGCGCCCCCTCCCCCAGAGCATGAGGGACCTTTCCTGTTAATCTCCCAAGTTTCCTGGGCTATAAAACTACAGTGCCTGGTCTTTTTGCTAGCTCAGGATTTTTCCTAGTTTGATATTTTTTGGGCTTCCAGAGGTCTGTGAGGGAGAGAGAGTGACTTACTTCTTACTCTGCCATCTTGGCCCCTGGAGGTGCAAGTCCTATTCAGTGATTAAGGCTTCATAAGCAAGGCTAAGATTCATGAGATTCCTTCCCCCTACCACTTGATCCTACTTTACATACTCTTCTCTTGCCTCCCAACTATATAAAACTATTAAGTCCCCCCCTTTCTTCCTCATTTCTTCCCTAAACTATTCCTTAAAGAAACACCTCTAGACTGTGTTCTTTTTACTTTAATCTCTCTGTGACCCTAAAGACAGTTGGGATTTTGAAAAGATACTTGTATTTTCTGTATTAGAATGTAGACACTTCATCTTTTATCTCCTTCTAATTACTTCTTTACTCTTCTAGGTTTCCTGCATTTGCATTTGAAAGATTCTGCCCAGCCTGAAGCTTCTCATCAGGAGTTCTTCAAAGTCTTCTGTTCTGCTAACAATCCATTTTTTTACCTTGTAGGATTAGCTCTGTTTTAAAGGGTAAGTTATTCTTAATTGCAAGTCTTGTTCTTTTGCCTTTTGGTGTGTGATTCCAAAATTTTCTCTCCTTATAGAGTAGCTGCGGCATATTCTTTGTGATGCTGGCTGTACTACTTGGTACTTGAACTCTTGGTTACTGGCTTCTTTCAGTATCTTTTCTTTTGTTTGCTCTCCATGGATTTTGGGCAGTTGCTCAGTAAACATTCATTAAGTGCCTACTATGTGCCAGACACTATGCTACATACTGAGGATACAAAGAAAGCCAAGAGATAGTCCTTGCTCTCAAGGACTTCACAGTCTGATGGGGTAGATGATTTGTAAACAACTATGTATGAACTATATGCAGGTTAAATTGGAAATAATTCACAAAGGCAAGGCACTAGAATTAAGGGGGATCAGGAAATGCTTCTCGTAGACTGTGATTTTAGCTTATGTTTAAGGAAACCAGGAGAGCTAGGAGGTAGAGATGAGTAGCGAGAGCATTCCAGTCATGGAGAACAGTTAGTGAAAATGCCTGGAGTCACAAGATGGAGTGTCTTGTGTGAGGAACAACCAGGAGGATCATTGGATTGAAGAATATATAGTGGGATATAAGATATAAGAAGGTTGGAGTGGTAGGAAACAGCCTGGTTATGAAGGACTTTACCAAATGGGAGATAGTGAGTTTATTAGGGAGGTGTCAAAGGGTTGCTTTGTGTAAATGAGGATTCAGTTGATGTTATTTAACATAAATTTGTAGTGGACCCAGTCAGCGTGATTTCATTATTTTCCCCAGCTTCCTTCACAGCACATGTGTGGGAATAAAGACAGCAAATGGAGAGAATGATCCAAGGCTGAAACTTGACAGGGTAAGGGACTCATGAATAGTGTGGAGTTGAACTAGTTCACCAAGGGATCAAAATGATTTAAGGGAGGAGAGTATGGTAGGGGAGATGGCCTGCAAAAGAACTGAAAGGTCAAAAGAATGGACGTCACAGTATGGATGAAAAACAGGGTTTCAGATTTTAAGGCAGATAGAGCAGTGGAGTGAAAATAGATTGTGATCAGATAAGAGAATTTCAGAGTTCATGAACATGGACTTGGTGCATTTTTGGATGATTTCAAGATCAAGAATCTGACCAACTCTGTGTGTAGCTGAGGTAAAGTAGAGGAGTAGATTTAGTGAATTGAGCAAGTTGAGAAACTAGGGTGTTTGAAGGAATATCGGTGTGTATTTTGAGGTCCCTTCATGTCGGGGCAGGAGTTATGGAGGAGAGAAAGATGTGAGTCAGGCACTGAACTCTTTGAGGAAAGAAGAGGACTGTTCTGAATGTTGATAGACAGCAGCTACCAGGATTTTGATTAGGTGATAGGTGTGGATTGAGTGAATCTCAAAGGGAGAGAGGTTACTAAATGATAGTGCTAGAATGAAGACCTTGGAAGTGGCAGTGAGGAGCAAGGAGTATCCCAACTTCCCCATGTGGTCTAGTTGGAAGGAATGAGTGAAAATACAGCCAGTACTGGAAAGAGATGCTAGGGAAGGTGATGTGAGAAGTAAGTCAGGTCTCAGTGACAGCCAAAGAGTAGATGGAATGTGAAAGGAAAAAATTAAGAATGAAAGTAAAGTTGTTGCATGCAGAGCAGGCATTCCAGGGAGCACAGTGGAAGGAGTGGATAGCTTTAGATTAGTACATGAAGGGTAGGGGTAGGAGTTGAAGGGAATGAGAATAAAGGATTGGGCATGAAGGATAGAAGAGGGGGTTCATGATCTCTGGGATAGGGAGAGGTGTTTATTAACCTTTGAGGAATGAGTTTTGTTAGGTTTTCATTGTCCATATGGGTTTGCCTGAGGAGAGTTCTCTCATGGACTTTGTCAGTCCAGGGAAGATTAGTGCTGGGAGCTGAGGAATCATTGTTACTCCCCTTCTGCAATGACATGAGACTAGACTGGAGACTTGATGGGAATTGCCCCTTCCCTGCAAGGGAGCAGTCTGATACTCAATAGACTGGGAGGTAGGAAATCAACCTGGAGGGAGGATGGAGACCAGAAAGGGCATTCAGTGTAATACAACGGCATTTTTCGTTTCCCTCAGGAAGGTTGAAGACCGGGCAGGAGATCCAGCTGTGATGGTGTTTGCATACCGTTAAGATAGTGAGCTTTACTTTGATTCCTGTCAAAATTCCCAGGAGTCAGTAAAAGCAGTTCTCAGAGGAAAATTACATAAAAAACACATTATTACATCATTTTGTATCTTCACCACAGATAACTGAACCTCTTATAGAAGTTGATTTGTATAGATCCCCTCCTTATTTTTACTTTCAACACTTCTATCCTTAAAATCCTAGATTTCCTAAAATTCTGCTCAAGTACCATCTCCTGCATGAAGCCTTTGTTGTTAGTGCCTTCTCCATTCAAAATTTCCTTGGCTATGTATATTTGTGCATGCTTTCACTTTGGGGTTTCTTTCAGGAGGTAATGAATGAATTCTAGTGATTAGACTAGGCCCCGGCCTTTTCCAAAATCCATGGCTTTGAGCCTGGCTCTTGATGACCCAATGTAATTTTTAGTCTTAGCCTTTCCTTGGCTGCTATTGATCAGAAAATACAAATAGGAGTTGTCATCATCCTCTGATCTAATATCTCCAGTTGTGTGTCCTAGATTTTGCAGGTCTCAGGCCTCCTACATGATGCCCTTGCTGGGCCCGGTTGGTTGAACCTTCCTTCTATTTTGCAGTAGCTCCAATAGGAGCATTGATTTAAGGCCTCTTTCATGGTGTTCTTGTGCTGAGACTGCCTGGCCTTGACTCCTGCTTTGGCTCCAGTGCAGGTTGCTGGGACATTGACTTGATGCATCTTGGAAGGACAACATGTACTGCTTGGTCCTGTCTACCTGGTTGGTGAGCCATGGGGGCTAGCTCTGTTTCATGCTGCTCCGACAGTCTAAAGCTGAGGGTCACTGGATTAGGCCCTGGTTTATGATACTGGCTTTTCCTTCCTCTGTCTTGGCTATTCCCAGAATTGGTCTGTAGGCTTCTGGTGTGAATGAAAGAGCTTTTTGCTATTTCTTTTTGTTTTCCTTAGCATTTTTTCTTCTGCTTTGAAAACTTTGAGAGAGCTGGCTCCTTTCTAGGTCTTTTACATCACCATCATAAATAGAAGTCCAAACCTTTCATTTTCTACATAAGGAAACTGAGATGCAGGCAGGTAGAGTATAATAGATTTAGGGATCATTTAGACTCTTATCTTAATTTTATAGATGAGAAAATGGAGGCTTAGAGAGATTATGCCGTGTGGTATAATGGGTAGAGTTTTTTGGTCCACAAATATTGTAGCTAGTTCCTGATTAGGATGTATTAGGAATCCTCTCAAAGTAGTTGCGTTATTTGAATTTACACTGCATATTTCTGTTGGGCCAAAACCAATAACTATATTTTGTATAATTGTGATTTCAAATAGTGTGAATTCAAATAGATGTGACCACTTCACAGGATTCATTATTCACACTAATCAGGATCTAGCTATGGTAAGCATGTTTCATGTGTCAGGCTGGGTATCAGATCTATTTCAGACTCATATTAGGTATGATATCATGGGTAAGCAACTTAATACTGCCCCTAATTGTAAGGGTACCTGAAAGTATCCTAGACTCTCTTCTTCTCTGTCTGTGCTTGTTCGGGTTTGACCTTATCAACTCATTCATCTCCATGTCACAGATGCATGTACATTTGGGTTTTTTTGTTCATTTATTCCAGTTGCATCCAACTTTTCATGACCCCATTTGGGGTTTTCTTGGCAAAAATAGTGTTTTTCCATTTCCTTCTTTACCTCATTTTACAGATGAGGAAGTTGAGGCAAACAGGGTCAAGTGACTTGTCCAGGGTCACACAGCTAGTAACTGTCTGAGGCTGGATTCGACCTTATGATGATGAGTCTTCCTAATTCCAAGCCCAGTGAGAACTCCATCCACTATGCCACCTAGCTACCCCAAAGTATATGCATAAATAGATATATTTAAATATATGTATATGCATATGTAGGGCAGCTAGCTGTATGACCCTGAGCAAGTCACATAACCCTTTTTGCCTCAGTTTCTCATCTGTAAAATAAGCTAGAGAAGGAAATGGCAAACCACTCCAGTATCTTTGCTAGGAAAACTCCAAAATGGGGTCATGAAGAATTGGACACGACTGAACAACAAAAGTGAACACACAAATATATATATATGTATGCACACACGTATATATAGCTCTCTCTGCTGAGCTCTAGTTCTGCACAACTATGTATTGAATATGTAATCGATGCATCTACATATTATGTAGATACTATGTAACATATACATATAGATACATATGTATAAATATATACATATATATTCATGTATTTGTATACGTATATAGTCTTTTTGCTGAGCTAGTCTTGCACAGCTGTTCAAAGCAGAACTCATCTTTTCCCTCATACCGAACCATATTACAGACTTGAACCATTTTGCCAAGACAAAATCTCTTTACAAGCCACGTGATCTCGTTCCATCCCACCAGCATCTTGGTCCCCTCTGACATTCCCACTTTCTCACTTATCTTCATTTTCTCCATGGCTACTTCCCTAGTACCTACAAGTATGCCCATGTCTCTCCCATATTCTACCTCCTCCCCACTTTGATCTGTTCCCTATCTCTCCTCCCTTTTGTGTTTAAACTCCTTGAAAAAGCTAGCTACAGTTGGTGGCTTCACTTTCTTTCTTCTCACTCCCTTCTCAATTCTTTGCAGTCTGGTGTCTGACCTCAAAATTCATCCAAACCTGATCTCTCCGAAGTCATTAATTGTCTCTTAATTGCCAGATCTAATGGCCTTTTCACAAGCCTCATCCTTCTTGATATCTCTGCAGCCTTTGACACTATCAACCACCTTCTTGATACTCTGATCTCTTTAAGTCATCATGACAGTACTCTATCCTTGTTTACCTACCTTGTTCACCTTGTTTTTTCTCAGTCTCAGTTGCTGAAAGTTCATCCAGGTTATGCC